TGCTCTGGAACCAGAACACCCCAAGGAAAGGTAAGACCAGCTCCCAGCTCACCTCCTGCTCCCCTCACTCCCTGCAGCACGTTCCCTGGGCAATGTGCCACTCCAGGCTGGCCCCTGGGCACCGTGCTGGCCACTCTGCTGGCTGGACAGAGCAGGGGACAAAGGCAGCTTTTCCACCCGGCTCCAGAGGCTGAATGGAGGAGGTGGAGGCACAGGGGAGGGTTCTTGGGGTGAAACAAGCCCCAGCTGGGCAATGACCAGCCTTCACAACCAGCCTCTGCTGGGCGGGACCCCCTCCCACCCACACAGCTGCTGGGGCTCACAGCATCTCCCAAGGGCTGGCCAAGGCTCCCAAATGTGCTATCATACCTGTGCCCTGTCCCCAGCAGCCCCTCAGCAGCTGCAACCTGGCCCACCAAGTGATGCTGTCTGGGGAAGGACTGAGCAGGACAGAGAACTCCCTGTGGGCACCAACACAAGGACAGAGAACCTACACGTGCACCAGGAGCTATATATTGGGGGCAGGTTCACAGTCACCATGGCCCCAAATGTCTCTGGGGTACAGAACAGACAAACAGGAGGGACAGTGCAGGCCACAGGTGGCTGCTGTGGCTACTTCTTCTCCTGCTTCTGCTGCTGGTACCTCCTGAAGTGGGTCTGGATGGTGATGGCTGCCCTCTCAGAAGGGTCAGTGACCTTGCTCTCCTTGCTGGCATCAGAGCTCACTTCACCTGGAGGGGCAACAGAGCATCCCAGTGAGCACAGAGAGTGCCAGCAGCCCTGAACAGGCTCCACAGGGCTCTGGCATCACCCCCCTGGGGTCAGTGGCCTCCCCATCCCTCAGACAGGACAGCTGTCCTTGCTGCAGAGCTCACAGCACAAACCCACAACTCCAGCGGCTCACAGGGACATCTCCAGGGCAGAAGGAGCAGGGAACGGGAGGCAAAGCAAAGCCCAGCCTCTCTGGCAGAGCTAAGCCCTCTGTTTACACAGCTCCACTCCCCCAAGGCCGCAGCTTCCCCACGTTTAATCACCGTGCATGATGCTCACTTACTTTCGCACACACAAATAAGATTAGAAAAAAGCCCGGCCCCGCGCAGCAATAAAGCTCTCACGCTGACAAATGGGAGCCCTCCCCACTCCTGCCTAATGTGGCATTAGGGAAGTATTGTGAAATTCAACAGGAACTGCATCAAAGCCACTCAGCAGTGCTCCTCTAAGCCAGTGTGTCACTGCTGAGCACCCCCCGAGCAGCCATCAGCAATCCTGGGGCCAGATGCTGCTCTATAAACTCACCGCTGCCACCTGAACCCATTTCCCTTCGCTGCCTAAAGAAACTGCAGAGGAAAAAGATCAATAAAAGGAGGGAGTGGGCTCCCCCCTGCCCTGCTCTACAAGACACTGCCAGCTGTGAATCCTGCCCAAGGGCAGAGGCTGAGCACGGGCACTCCCAGGGTGAGCATGGCACCTCTGCCACAAGCTCACCTGCCCCAGGGGCTCAGCCCCTGGCAGCCCCAGACCTGCAGCAATTTGCAGTGAAACCCCCAGCCCAGCAGCCAGGCTGGGCAGAGCTCCTGGGCCATGAGGAGGGGCTGGCACCCCCAGCCCCCACTGCCCCTTATCCTCTTGGCACCGAGAATAGAACAGCTCAAATCCTCTTTGAGAGCACTGCAGAGCCCTGGACACAGCAGCAAAGAAAAGAGGGGGCGAGTGCCAGGTGGGTTTCCCAGGACAAGGAGAAGGGGGCTGGTTTATGGGACTGCAGGACCCCACCTGAGTCAGTGGGGCAGGTTTCCTGGGAAGAGGGGAGCAGGGGTGTGCACAGACACAGTGTGGGGTTCTATATTCATTCAGCCCTGCAGCACTGGGACCTTCACTGGCTGATGCTACACACATTAACAAATATCTCATCATCAAATACCCCTTAATAATGCCACAAACAGCTTTGTGGAAGGAGAAAGAGGCCAAGACGGATGCAGGTACTGCAATGGCTGCTCTTCTGCTGCATCCACAGTCCCAGCTGTGAGTTCCACTCATTACTTGGGGGTTTTTTACTGCCTGTTCCACACTCACCTTTGTCTCCAGAAAGCGAGTAGATGCTGTTGTGCCGGGAGTTCCTGCCTCTCTAGAAAGGTAGAGAAATAAAATAAAAGTTAGCTCTATCCCAAGCACAGGCAGTGAGGGCAGTCCCTTTCAGGCCAGCTGGAAACCTTTCCACTCTCCATTCCCTTTAGGAAACTGGAACATGCTTACTGTTGCTCCCTTAAAGAGTACTGATTAATTAATCTGCATTTATGAAAAGACCTCCAAGGACAGGCAGGAAATAGGTTTGCATCCAAACTCAGAGCTGTGAGATGCTCCAGTCCATGGATGGATGTTGGCACAGGTTATCCTCACTGGATCTGCATTTCAAACCAGTAAGGAGACAGCCCCTACACCATGAACCTGCAGCTCCTGGGCTGCCAGATCTTCCAGGGGATATTTCCATTTCTAAAAATAAGCTTGAATTTGTCTGCAGATACCTCTCCAACATTTTCCTGCCCTCCTGGCATTACACTTCCCCCTTGCCTACACCTCCAGGCTGCCTGGCTCACAGCTACCCTTGCAGTGGCACTGCCATCCCCTGGTGCCAGCAGCCCTCACCTTGCTATCCTGGCAGTGCCAGCAGCCCTCACCTGGCTGGTTTGGCACACCCAGCAGCCCTCACCTTGATGTCCTGGCAGTGCCAGCAGCCCTCACCTGGCTGGTTTGGCACACCCAGCAGCCCTCACCTGGCTGCTTTGGCACACCCAGCTGCCCTCACCTCGCTGTCCCGGCTGGTGCGGCGGCTCTGGGACACGCACTGGATCTGCCAGGGCAGGGGCTGGTACACCAGGTAAGGCAGGGGCTCCTCACGGAACAGGTTGGTCCCCAGCTGCACACAGGGAAGGTTTTTCAGCAGAGGAAGAGGAACAGAAAGAGCTGCCCAGCCACAACCATCACCAGAGAACACAACCCTCCCCTGCCACTCCCTGTGGTGACACCGACCCCACAGAGCTCCCACCCTCCTGCCCGGGGGGGTTTAGGAGGCACAGAAGCCATTCCCAGCAGGACAAGCAGAAACTGCTGCCTGCTCTCCCTGCCCCAGCAGAGAGCAGCCCCAGGCAGGTGAGAACAGCAGTGCAGCAGTAAATGTTCCCTGGGGCCAGGACTCACCTGTGTGACCGCCCTCACCACAAAGAACAGCGCTGTCATCAGGGTGCCCAGCATGGCTGGGTGAGGGCTCAGCTCTGGGAGCAGCACGCTGGGATCTCCCCACAGCCAGGACTGAGATGTCCCTCCTGGGGCACGCAGAGCCCAAGCCCTTTAATGAGCTTACAGCCCCTGCTCAGCTTGCTGAAGTAATCAGGCACTGCCCTTTTGCTCTTCTAATCGCTGAGTTTCTCCAACAGACACAGTGCTGGCATTCCAGGAAAGGCAAATCCTCTGCTCCAGCACGGCAGGGAGCACAGCCCAGCCTGGGGACACAGCTGCTCCATGGGGACCCATCTCAGCAGGGTCACAGCACACCCAGGAGGGATTTGGGATGTCTCAGAACTGCTCGGCAGCGGGGTAGGACACTTGTCCCCAGCAGTGCCTGCCTGGACAGCGTGTGCTGCCAGCAGAGCTCCTCCAGCAGCTCTTACCCAGCTCTCCAGAGGGCAAAGACACACCAGTGCAGCCCAGGCACAGCAGGAACCGGGGCAAAAAAAAAGCCTGGTGGTTGGTTGTTTTCTTTTTAAGGACAAAACTACCAGGTTCCACTTGTGCACAAGCAGCTGATGCACACCCTGCTCCCCCTGTGCTTCACCAGCCCCTCTCCAGCTCCCAGGCTGCTGGCAGGAGCAAACAGGAGATGGGAACAGTCATGGGAAGAGAAGAACACGTCACCAAACCTCCCTAATTCCTGGTGAGAGAGTTACTCAGCGATCCCAGCAGCACCCAGCACGCTGCTGGGGCAATTCCTGGCTGCTCCCAAACCCATGGGAAATCAGCAGCCACAGCCAATCCACAGAGAGACATTTTTAACACATCCCAGGCTGCCAGAGCGATGCCTTGTTTCCATTTTGTAGTTTTGGTTTTCAGCTTTCTTCTCTCTGCATTTGCTGCCCTGTCCAGATACTTAAAAGAATAATGGTAACAAAGCCACAGCGAGCTTAAGTGGTCTTGGGAACTGCCAGAAATGACCTTGACAAAACAAAACATGAGAGAGCCCAGAGACAAGGGGAGATGTGAGAGGTAAGTACAGCTGGATATCCAGCTACAACAAAACAGAGTCACAACCACCACCATCATACAAAACAGGCTCATGTTGATTTAATTTATACAAAACCAGATACAGCTGCTACCCCAGGTTTTAACAGGAAAAAGGAGCAGGCTTCAAACCGAGTTATTGTTAAAAAAAACTGGTATTTCCCTGCACTGTTAATGCATGCTTCTCCCAAAACACAGAATGGACTCGGTGATATGGCTTTGGCCACAGCAACCACAACTGTGAGGTCCCTTCTGAAAACCCTGACTGGGGTTGTGTCCTCTGAGTGTCCAGTAAACTAAAAGCAAAATCCCTACAGGAAGGGGTCTGTGCAATCCAACAGCAGATGGGATACCCGTGTTTTGATCCCTCCTTTCCTAGGAAGGAATAAGGCTGGTTGAGTAATTACAAAAATCCTCGAGAAACAGCAAGAAAAAAAAAAATAAAATACATACATTCTTAAGAGTTTTAAAATGATGTTCATCAAAAATATATTTCTATTTGGTTGTAAACATCCCCGTGCCAGGCTCACAGCGTGTGCCAGCACACGGGGAGCAGAGCAGGGGGGCACTGCCCACCCGAGGGGCTCACACAGCACAGGGGGTGGGGGGCAGCAGCTTCACAGCCTCCCCCCAGCAGCTGTCTCGGGAGAATGGCTTTGAAGACGGTTCCTCACAGATGGGATCCCTTGAAGAGCAGCGTCCTCGGCAGCCAGAACGGCGAGTGGCTCGGCAGCTTTTCAAAGCATAAAAGATTCAGAGTCAGCTCGGAGGAAATACTGACAAAGACAACCAAAAACCGCGTTCCATGAAAGCCTGACTCCTCCCTGCTGGGGAGAGTGAAACCCCTCCCAATTCCAAGCATCCCAGCGGGCTGGGATACCCTCTGGATTTGGCCTTTCCAGAGGAACAGCACAGCACCTGGGGAGCAAAGCCAGGAGCCACTGTCACAGCTGAGGTCCAGGAGCAGCAAGACCGAGCTCCAGGATTGATGGCAGCGGCTCCCCAGCCCCGTGCATGGAAAGAGATCCCAGCTGCTGAGCCAGGCTCTGGATCCCTGTCCCCAGGGCATGGAAGGACGCAGGTGGGGCTGTCTCAGCACTCCCAGGAGCTCCTCAGCCGTGCCCTCCCCGTGTCCTCCTGCCATCCCTGACAAGGGGACAGAGCTGCAGCAGCTGCTCTGCTGCACAGCTCTGGCCAGCCTGGCGTGAGAGGAGCAGGGAAGGCTCATCCACATCTACCACTCTTGGCTCAGCTCCTGTTGCTTCCACCCCAAACAAGCAGAACGTTCCCCAAGAGCCAGAATGTGCCATTCCCTGATTTTATCCCCAGACTCTGCAGCCATTCCACTGCTCCCACGTGCCAGAGGCCACCTGACATGGCCCACCTGCCACCAAGCATTTGCTGGGCATCGGGGCAGGCTCATTTCCTGACACATTTCCTCCAGCACAGCCTCAGCTGGATTCACATCCTCCCCCTTGACCAGTTACTCAAAGTCCTCCGTGATTCACAGCCCTGCCTCACCATTGCTGGAATACTAATGAGGGAAATGTTGATTTATTGAAGCCCTGATATGTCACCGCTGGATTAAACAGTCTATAAAGTATATTTGGACACATTACAGGATTAGAAGAATCCGCCTGGGAAGTTCTCTTCCTCCTTCCTCCACTCTCTTGCAAAAACACCCAGTTTCAAGGACGTGGCACATGGACACAGTGGAGGTGCCTGGGTGGGCATCACCAAAACCCAGCCCCTCCTGGGGAGACTGCACAGGCCCCCCCACCATCCCTGCAGAGAAAAATCCCACCTTTCAGTAGTGGTACACCTTGATCTCTCTGTTCTCATCCAGCCCCAGCTGCAGGAGGCTGGGGCTGCTGCCTGGGGGCTTCTGTGCCCGTGGGGAGAGAGGTCTGACAGCTGGGTGAAGGAAAAGCCTGGCTTAGAGCAGGAATTAGCACAGACAGCACAGGTACCAGGTACTGAGCCAGCCCAGTGCACACAGGCTGCATTTAGCCTGCTGCATCCCAGTCAAATGGAATTAGAGGGGGATTAGGGAATCCAGAGGCACACCAGGCTCAGGACAGCACAGAGGCCACGGGGATTTGCTGCTAATATCAGTGTACACTGAGGAGGCACCAACAGCCCCAGCACAAGGCTGGTGCCACCCAGCCTGGGAGCATCCCTGCTCACAGCACAGAGAGATCTTGCTCTCCATGCTACAGGATCCCTCAAAACAGAGCTGGAGAGAGTTCTGGGGGGAGCCCAGCCCTTCCTGCCCCACCACATGCCCAGTCCACACATCTGCAGGTGCCCTCACCTCCTCCCAGGCTGCTCAGCAGGGCCTGCCCGTGGCCAAGGGCTCCATCCATGGTCTAGAAGCAGCCCTGCAAAGCCAGACCCCCTTCTTGCCCTCCCCATCCTCCATTCTGCACTATTTGGTCTGTATTTTTAAATCCTCACATTCCCAGCTCAAACTGTTCCTTTACAGCTGAGCAGCATCACTACAGAGCATCACAACACAAGCAGGGAAAGGAAGGGAAACTTCCTCAGTCAAGTACAGCTCAGAGAGCAGCACACAGATCACTCCTGCTCCATCTGCTAAACATCACATTCCTCTGCAGAGCCAGGCACTGGAATGGAGGCCAAGGCCTCAAAATCGCTGCTCAATTCCCCTCCTGCCACCCTCTCCTGCCTTCTGCAAGAAGCAGGAATGCAATTAAAGACCAGACCCAGGTAAAAGATACATTTTGGAATCCTTGAAGTCTTTCAGCCATTTCTTGTTGCTCTCAATCATGCCCTCAATATTCCTCTTCTCTGGCTCACTGAACTTGGAATACTGGAAGAGCCGGATTTGTTCACTGTGGCAGTGAGAGAGAGAGAGAGAGAGAGGGTAAGTGGGGAAGAAATTATCCCAGAGATAAGAAAGTGAAGAAAAAAAACACCTCCTCTAATATATATACTAAAAATATATACTGTATATATACATATATATATACACACACACCTTTTCTCTTTAACAATTTGATAATTACTATGGATTACTTTTTATCTACTTGTTACATGGTAAGTGACCTAATAATCACTGCAGAGAAACAACAGCAGCACAGCGAAACAGCTTGAGGAAAAAGGCCCTTACTCTGCAGGGACATATCCCAGCTTGCTGTCCAGAGACACAGGACTACCACCAAGTGATGAGAACCCACCTGGAAATAAAGAAATAAAATTAAATACAGAGCCCACAAAATCCTCGGAGGGTCTGGGTGTGTTTGCTTTCCTGCACATGGACACAGGAAACAGATGGAGATCCCTACGTGCCACTGGGAGAGGGCTGGCTCCTCTTTTGCTGCTTCCTTGGGTGTGCATTAAAGAGCAGGATGACAGGATGAGCCATCTGCTGCACTTCTGGAATGAGTTTCTCATCCCTGACCCCCTCAGCACCCTTCCCACCAGCAGCACCAGTGCACCCACCCTTTCCCAGCACGAGACAAAACCAGAAGCTGCAGGCAACAAAGCAAAGAATGAAGCCAGCAAGACTCACCTGGGAAATACCTGTGCCATTTCTCTGCCAGCATGTTGTCCACTGACTGCCCTGAGATGGAATAACTGGAGCTGAGCCGGCTGCTCCGGGCCCACTGGTCCAGGGGGGATGCCCTGGGGGGGTTCCCCAGGGAGCTGCCCCCCTGCAGGCCTCCCAGGGAGGGCTGTGTGGGAAGGGGGATGCCCTCGTGGGGTGTGGAGGTGAGCAGAGGAGGCTGGTGACGGCTCAGGGAGTCCAGGAGCCCCAGGACCCCGTTGAGCTCACTGGTGATGCTCTGCACAGAGTCCCTCAGGTGCTGGATCTTGTCCTGCTGGAGGGCAGGCCAGAAATCTGCTCTCAAGTCAACTGAAGGAAGAAAGGGGGAGAAAGGGATCATGGACAAGCCCTAATAAGAGCAGGCTTTGTGCAAGCAACCCAACCCTCCTGCCTGCTGCCCTTCTTCCCCCAGCACAACTCCAGTTACAGGCAACCAGAGCCCAAGAAAAAGCACGAGCAGCAGAGAGGGAATCACAGCAGCTCCTCCTGCCATGGATGTGAGGAAGGGGAAGCCCAGACTCCTGCAGAAGAGCAACAGAGCTCTGCAGGATCAGAGGGAAAGCAGAGAGATTTTATAATCCACAGAGATTTAAAAGGCAGGTTCACTCACAGATCCCATCCCTCTTATCTGCCACTACAGGCAGGAAACAAGTTTTTGCAATCAGGTGTGGTACACAGAGCAGTCCCAGAACTGCCTTGGACAAAACTGAGCACAAATGGGAACAGGGACATCAGAGAGGTGGCAGGGAAAGGCACAACAGGCCTGGAGCCTCACATGCTGGGCACTTACATCTAGACTGGCCCAGGTTCACACTGGATGTGCTGTTTGTGTCCTCAGAGGTGCTCAGATCAAAAGTCACCACCTTCTTGCATGCAGAACTCTTCAGTGTATCTTCATCTGAGAGCTGGTCAGGAGGAGGAAAACAGAGCCAGTAAAACCTGCTGTATCATCCCTGGAACACAAAAGCTACTGGAAATCTGCCTACAGCTTGTCTACAGAGCTGGACTGCAGTCAGGCACGGGTCAAGTGAAGGCAAACTTGTCTTCAGCCCCTGACAGCAAAGTCTGAATGTCCAGAGACTGCTTTGGCTCTGAAAGTGCAGGAGGCCAAACACAGCAGCCACGTGAACCAGCCCTTCCAGCAGGAGTCAACGTGGCTGGTGCTGTAAATAACCTCCCAACTCCTGCAGGGCTGGGTTCTCTGCACCAAGGGCAGGAGTTTGACCATCAAAGGTCTGGTTCTCTTGCATCTGCTGCTGCCCTGTCTAAGGCCACGTGGTGCCAGGCAGAGCAGGCTCCATCCCAGCTCACATTGCTGCCCTTTTTTTCTCCAGGCTCAATCCACGCAGCTTTCCCAAGCTGCTTTCTGCAGCCACACACTCAGCAATCCCTGGTGCTCTGTTTTGGTTCCAAAATCCAACTCTGCTGGCAAATACCAGTCTTTGGCCACCAGCTGAACAGCCCTGACAGGGACCACAAGCCCCTCACAGACTCTGCCTGGGGGAGGAGGCCAAGAGCCCTGGGCAGGGGGAATGCAGCTGGGCAGGGATGCTGCACTTACCTCCTCCAACAGCGAGGACTCCAGCTGGCTGAGCTTCTCCTCCTTCTTCTTCAGCAGCACCTGCCCTTTCTGCATGGCCAACTTCATCTTGTCCAACTCCTTTGCCTCCTGCACAGACCAACAGCCACGCCGAGGAGGGAAATCAAACAGGAACCACAGGAAATAATCTACATCAGCAGCTGGGGTGACTTTCATCCCCTCATTCTGCTCAGCACAGGGAGGGCTGCTGGAGTGAAATCGCTCCCAAATCCTCGAGAGTGTGGGAAGGGGAGCAGAGTGGAGCAGAGCCCATGGCTCAAAGCAGGTTTAGCCCAAGGAAAAGGAGGTTTCACTTCCAAACCCATGCCCAAGGGGGTCACCAAGCCCACATCAACAGGACCAGGGCGGCTGCAGAGCCAGGAGTTGATGCCAGGGCAGTCCGTGACACCCAACACCCGAGCAGGGCTCACCTCCTCCAGGTTCCTCTGCATTCCCTGCAGGAGCTGGGAGCTGTGGGGATCCTGCACAGCCTCCTGGGCCCTGCGCAGGTCCTGGTGCCACTGCAGGCTGGCAGCCCTGAGCGCCGAGCGCCGCTGGCGCAGGGAGCGGCTCTGGCGCAGCAGGAACTCCTTGGCGCTCCTCAGGGACTGCCCCTCGGCTGAGATGTAGCTCCTGACCCTGCTGGCAACAGGCAGGGCTGTCCTGGCTCCCTGTGCTGCTGCACATCTCGCACAGCACCCCCCAAAAACGGGTGGGCAGTGCCCGGTGTGCAAACCTCGGCTCGGGAAACCAGAGCAGGGAGTTTTCCTGGCACTCACCGATCAAACTGGGGCTCGCTGTCCTCGGGGCTCTGGGAGGCTGGGGAAGGATCTCTGGACGAGTGCTGAGAGGGTGACACATTGCAAAAACTAAGAAATAGGTATGGGGGAAACAGAAGCCCAGGGACCTCTAAGAATCCAATGAGGAGCAAAAGCCTGGAATGACATCACCATGGCACAGCCCAGATCCAAACACAGCACCAGGGGTGTTCTTGGTGTGACTTTTGAAGGTAACAAAGACATTTCTATCCCAACACAAGCCCTGCTTTTGATTTGAGTGTCCCACACTCCCCTCCACCCATTAATAATAGGCAGACATCTGCAAATACTATTGAACACACCAGCAAAGAGAAATCCATCTCTGCATCTCAAATGAATCCACACAGAAGGAACAAATGCTGGGATTTTCAAGGGAGTTTCAGCCTCAGATCTCACAAGGCAAATACCTTCACAGGCTGCTTTACTCACAGCTTGAGGAGTTTCTCTCAGGTCTTCAACACGGAGCTCATCTTTCTTTCTTGGAGATTGCACACTTTCTTCTGCCTCCAGCTCTTTCAGAGCCTCCTGCTTGCTCCTGATTGCTGCCTCCAGCTCTCTGCCACAGGAAAAAGCAACAGCAGAGGCACTTGATTAGCCTGCAGTGGAGTCCAGAGTGACCTCCAGATTCCAGCAGGAAAAGGGCCACAGGTGTGCAAGACACCACCAGGGCTGGCTCTGTGCTGTTACACCAATGTAAGCCCTGGCTGGGCAGGGAAACTGCTTCCCACCCTTCCTCAGCAGCTCAGCCACCTCAGGAAAACCTCTTTGCATTTCAGTGCCCCTCTCACAGCACCTCATTAACCTCCCAAGGCAGGAGTGGAGGAGACAAACGAATCTGACATGCAGAGGTGAAGGAGCAAATTCAAATTCACACCCTGAGTTCACAAAAAATCTGGAACAAGCCCGCAGCAATTCTGCCCTCCACGGGCACCTCAGGATTCTGAAGGAACATGGCCCAACACAGAGCTCAGAGGTCAGGGAGAGGCCCAGGCTTGGTTAGAGAGGTTTGTCAGGAGCACAAGGCAGATTTTTTGGTATTAAAGGAAATTTCTCGCACACACCCGATGCGTTTCTGCAGCCTCTGGCTCCGGCTCTGCAGCAAATCCACCTGGGCCTCCAGCTCAGCCTTCTGGTCCTGCAGCTCCTCCAGGGTCTTCCTCAGCTGCCTGACAGACTCCAGGAGGCTGGAATGCTCCTTCCTGCTCTCCTCCAGGCGCAGCTGAGAGGCCAGAGCAGCTTCCTAGGAGAAAACCAGAAAATCCCTCACGGTCATTTCCCCACGAGCAAAACAAGTGGCACACAGCTCACAGGGTCTCAGAGCTCCACCTGGAATCCTGCACACACAGCAACCTGCACAACCACACACCAGTCCTGGGAGAACAGGGCTGCCTCTTCTCTTTGGGGAGCTCAGAACTAACCCTCCTCCCAGCACCTGGTTTTCCTAAAGCCCCAGCTCCAAGGTGCTGCCCCCAGCCCCAGGGCAGCACAGCCCCTCTCCAGAGCCCAGGTGTCCTTACATTTCTTTGGAGCTGCATCTGTTCCTCCTCATCCAGCAGCAGCTGCCTCCTCCTTTGCAGGGACTCCTCCTGTGACAGGGGAGAAGGCAGGGCAGTGTCAGAGCCAGGATTCAGGCCTGAGTCTCAAGACCATTCCAAAGTACACAAGATTTGCTTTATGACCCCTCTCACGGCCACTCGCTGCCCTCCAAAGCACTGAGCAAACCCAGAGCTCAGAGAATTTCACAGCAAACACCAGCACTGAGAATGCTTAGCCCTGCTCTGACTGGGGGCAAAGTTTTACCTCTAAGTGGGATGGCAGCAGAAGCCCTGGCTGAGCTTTTTCTTCCCCATGAGGAAGCAGCCAAAGGATGGGCACAGATCAGTGAAGCTCTGAGAGCCCACCAGGCCGACTCACCTGGCTGAGGAGATGCTCTGATCTGGCTTGGATGCTTTTCATGCGGATTTCAAGCTCCTTCTCTGAATCTTGGACCTTTCTTTCCTGCACAGGAAAAGCCGAGTTAAAGAGAACGGCACAAGCTCTTCCTCCACCAGGAAAACACAACCTGGGGACCGTCACCTGCCACTTGTGTTTGTCACCCTGTGCAGGGTGGCAGGGGGACAAGGTGGGGAGCCTCCAGGAATCCCAAGGGTCAGAGGCAGAGCCTGCTGCTCACCTTCTCCCTGTGCCTCTGCTGCAGGGAGCTCAGCCTCCCCTCCAGCTCTGCCTGCAGCTCCTTCACCTCGGTGTCGTGGAGCTGCCGCAGCCGCGCCGCCTCGCCCCGCAGCCCCTCCAGCAGCTCTGACCTCTGCTTCTGCTCCTGCCCGGCCCAGCACACAGGGAAACACCTCAGTGAGGCACAGGGCTCGGCAGCAATGCAGCACGGACACACAGCATCACAGGGAAACACCTCAGTGAGGTACGGGGCTCGGCAGCAATGCAGCATCACTGGGACTCCCGCCCAGCACACCCAGCTCCCCATGGCAGTACCTCCTCCTGGTACTGCTCCTGGATCCGTGCCAGAACCTCCCGGTGCTCCTCCCTCATCCTCTCCATCCTCCTCTCGTGCTCCTTTTCCACTTCCCGCCGTTTGTCACTCATGAGCTCGCTGAGCTGCAGGGGTCACAGGGAGAGAGGTTTCCCTGAACTGCAGCACTGCACGGGAGTGGCCTCCCCAAAATCAGCCTCTCACAGGAGCCCGAGCCCTGAGTGGCTCAGGGATTGTGTCCTGGGCAGCACAGAGCCTCCACCCCACTGAGGTGACATGCTGAGGGATGTCCTAACCCCTAAGGCAGGGGATGTGGGCACTCAGAGCTCACCCCACAGTTGAGGGGAGAGCGTGAAGAGCCTTCAGCACAAAGCCAGCACTCACCTCACGCTCGTACTCCTTCACTTTCAGGGCTCTGTGCTGCACCTCCTGATCTGCTCTCTGCAGCTCCTCACGCAGCTGGGCCTCCTGGCTGCTCTGTGCCTCTGCCAGCTGGGCTTGCAGGCTGGAAATGACCTGCCAGGAAAGCCACCCACAGACACTCGTCAGCCTTTTCCACAGGATCCATGGCATGCCCTCGACAGGGCACGGCACTGCCTCACCACCCCCTGCCTGGGGCACGGCCAGACACTGAGCCAGACCAGAACCACAGCTAGGGAGGGGAAACAAAATTAGTGCCACCCTCCCTGGCCACCTTTGGTGACAGAGTGAGGAAAAAAAAAAGAAACCCCAACAATTTACATTCTAAGGACACCATCCTCACCTCATGGTGCTTCTCTTCTGCTGCAGACTTCAGCTGCTGGAGTTCACTGGCAAACTGTTCTTCCAGCTCCTCTGCTGCCTATGAAAACACGACCAAAACAGACTGCTGAGAAACCTCAGCATGTGGGGACAAGGTGCATTTGCAATTTAATTCTATCCTAAAGCATCAAAAGGCACAGCAGTAACTCCCCCTTCCAAAGGGGATCACTATGTGGTGCCTTTACTCTCCCTGTGCTTTCCCTCCCAGGGATCTCGATGAATCCCTGTCCTGCTGTGCTGGAGGGACTGGGAACTGCCCCACTGAAGGGCTCCCCAGGTCCCTGCAGCACTGAAGCAGCAGCCAAAGAGGTGTTGGGAGCTGATAAAGTGGCTCAGTTTAGTTCTGATCTGATAACAGGGCCGGGTTTAGCTCAGCCAGACACACTGAGATCCTTATCCTGTCTTCAGAGGCAGAGTGGCCATTGAAATAATTGTTAGTTAATCACCATTTAATAACAACTGGGGGAGTTCTCCTGCACAGCTCCCTGTGCCTCCACCGGCCCAGCTGGCATCTGTCTCTGGTGCTGTGAGTGATTTTCACGGAAGCACTGCAGGGGTGAGCTCATCCCCACTCTTTGCAGTGCCATGCCAGCCAGGGGAGCAGGAACAGCCCTGCCTGGCAATAAAGATCTCACCTTCTTCTTCTCCCTGTCCAACCTCTCCCTGAGCTCGCTCAGGAACTGCTCCTTCTCTTCCTCCAGCTCACTCATCTCCTTCTGCCGGGCTTCCTCTGCTGCCAGCTTCATTTCCTCCAAGGCAAGCTGCTGCTTCCTCTCCAGGCTCTCCTTCTCCACCAGCTGCTGGGATTCCCACTCCTCCCTCAGCTTCTGCAGCCTGACCTCCTGCTCTGCCCTGGCAGGTTTGGAAGGAGAGCACAGAAATTGGGATCCACACTGGACATTCAGGGCTCAGGACCTCCCCCTGAGCAGCTGCTGGGGCTGTGCCCGACCCTCCCCTCCCAAACCAGCCCTTCATATCCCAGGAATGGCAGCAGAGCCTCTCACCTCATCCTCTCCTCCTCTGCCTCGATCTCTGAGGCGATTTGGGCTCGCAGCTTTTCGAGTCTCTTGGCTTTTTCCTCTCTGACAAGCAACTCTTCCTCTTCCTGCTCAGATTTTTCCAAATCTTCTTCTGGAGCACTGAGACAGAAAATAAAAAGGAAGAAAGGTTCAGGAGGCTTCAATATCCCCCAGTCCCCTCTCCGAGGGCTACAGCTCAGCTGGGGATCTCACTGGCTGTGGTGACACATTCATTTCCCCCCAAACCTGCAGGTCCTGCTGCTGACACAGGAGATACAGCCCCAGCATCAAACCTGAGCAGTGTGTGTTTAAAACTTGCTATATCATCATAGTTTACACTTCTTTGGGGTTTTTTTTGTGCCTTTCTTTTTTTTTTTTTTTTTGCAGGTAAGTGAAATCAACCCTCATTAAAAGGCTGCAGGTTCCCAGGCAAAGTACCTGGATGCATCAGCACATCTGGAAGCTCCATATTTCCATATTATACTTTTTCCTACACTCTTTTTTTCCCCTTCAGGTGCTATTTCTGTATCTTCCTTCACAAGACTGCATCCTCACATGTTTCATGTCAGGATGCTGTTTCTGGCTGCTCAGAACATAAGCATCAAGTCCAGCAAGATAATACAGCAGCCTCAAGAGAAAAGTTCCCCCAGGGAAAGGACACAGCTCCCAGTGCTGTTCCACCCCTGCACTGCTCTCACATCCTGCTTTCCCTGCCCTATTGCTAGGAGCTTTATCTGGAAGCCCCTCTGTAAACATCCCCTATCAGCACTCAGATAGTTCCTCTTGGGTAACCTCATCTCCTCTAATGCCCCATTTCCAGCCCTGTTCCCACCATTTAGCCCAGGATTGGAACATCTGCCAGGTGGGAGAGCTCCAAGCACTGAGCTGGAAACTTCTCCCAGGTTAACCATAACTGACAGCTCTGTGTGTGTGTGTGGGGTCACAGCTCATCCTGCAGGATCCTCTCCTGCCACTCCTGTCAGGCTGGGAGAGCCTTTCCTGAGCTGCCAGTGGGGCACCTTCCACCCCCGCCAGGGTTTGCAGATCCTCACACACAGAACTGTCTGTGCCAAAGACTGTCCTTCCTCCTCATCCTCCTCCTCCTCCCTGAGAGCCCTGATCTTGCTCCTTTCCCCCAGCTCTGCAAAGCAGCACCACTTCCCAGGTGGTGGCTACAGCAACACGAGTCAGTGGCCAGCAGCAATGAAATCCCACCTTGGAAAAGCTTGGAGGAGATGGAGTAAAAAAGGAAACTACCTGAGGGGTTTTTCTTTTTGCTGATGAAGCTTTTCAGCTTCCTCCTCCTCCTCCTTCTGCCTCATCTCCTCCTGGAATTGCTGAATTTTCTCCTCCTTTGCTTGAAATAAATGTATTTCCTCTTGCTCCAGCTCCGTCTCCACCTCCTTGACTATTTCCTCCAGGGATTCATCCTTAGGCTGATTCAAGGACTGCTCGATTTCCTTCTCAGCTTGCCTACCAAAGAGAAAAACTCCTTTGGCAAAAGGGTGACAGAAAATAGAGTAATGTAAAAGGAACAGGAACCTCCTCCACACAGCATCAACTCCAAAAATCTCAGAGCCACCCATTCTAAAAGCTTCACTGCTGACCTCAGCTGGACCCTGAGGATCATTGGTGAATCCTCTTGGTGACTCCCAGAAAATACTGAGCCCAGCCCCAGCTGCACTCCAGGCCTAAATAATTCCAATTTTGATCCACCAGAGCTCACCTTGTGAGGTCAATAAAATCTCACTTGATGAAAAGCCCTGGCCAGGCTGCCAGGCACAGGAGCAGATGCCATCAGTACCTGCTCCCAGCCCAGGGATTGGTGCTTCTCATGGACCAAATATTTTTGTGCAATTGCAACCTAAAGTGAGCTGGGAATTTGCCAGCTCCAGGCAACAGAAAGCCCTCAGCACTCCAAAAATTCAAACCAAATTTGGTTCTAATTAAGTTTTTTTTTTTTTCAGGTAGACAGCAGCAAAATTATAAGGTCTGAGAGAAGCTAAAAGGGAAGGAGGGGAAAATTGAGATTAGGCTAGGATGAAAGATTTTTGTTCTTTGCTACTGAAGGCTGGAGCAGGAAGGTCTCACCGTGCTGTGAGACTGGCAGTGCAAGGCAGAGGGACTTGTGCCAGGAATCAGGGAAATAACAGCCCCAGTTATTCAGCCTCGAGTCAGGAGAGAAAAGGTCATTTCTGCAGCCATTAGCAAAAAGAGCAAGACAGAGGAAAGTAGTGGGGTTCTGGAACAATCCCCCTTCACGGTGCCCCCCCATAACACCAGGTGCCCTTTATGAGGCTGCTGTGCAGAGCAATTCAGCCACTTCCACCTGGTTATCACATTGTTCCTTTTGCCCCAGTTTTTGCTCAAAAGGAGACCCAGGCAGCACACACACACATTCACACAGCACCACAGCTCCTATCAGAACAGAGATTCCTTCCCCATCACCCTGTCCCCAGAGACACACTGCCTAATTTTTCCAGCTGCATCTGCTGATGTGTCATTTGACACGGAATGCAGAGTCAGCACACTCACATCCACGAAGCCCCTGTGTCTCAGGGAGCTGCAGGTAGGAATCCACAACCACCACCCATGGAGCAGCACACAACAGCAGCTTGGCCGGGAGCTGAGCTCACACCTCAGTATTTCAATGCCACCAACGTGCCCAGTGGCTGTAAAATGGGGTGAATTGTTGGGGTTTTGTCCTTTTCCCCCAGCTCAGCATCACTCGGCAAGTTCTGTGTGATTTGTTTCTCGGGGAGGGTGAAGGCTTTCCCAAAGACAAAGCAAACAGCTCTCCCTCATCCCACAGAGCCCTGAGGCACAGACCCCGAGGCTGAGCTGCTGCTCTGGCCCTGGCCAGCCCAGCACAGGCTGTTCATTGGCACTGTGGCAGGAACAGCAGCTGGGATGTGCACACAGAGCTGCTGGAGCAGCGCTGCACAAACCGCAGCTCCCGCTTCACACGCCAGCTCTGGCCACCACGGGGGGACAAAAGGACAAAAGCTGTCACAGTCACACCACGAGGGACTGACACGAAGCCCTTACACGTTCTGTGGGGCAGGAAGCTCCTCGGGATCCACCAGGTTATGCAGGGCTCCCTCCTCCGGCTCTGCAGCCTCCGCCCCACTGGCATTTTCTAACCCAAAACGCTCCACTGGTGTCTCACAAGCACCGAGATCCCTCTCACTTGGCAGCACAAAAGAGGGGACAGAAGGTCAGATTAGCTCAGGGCAGAGTCCAGTGGCTGCCACAGGTGGACGAGGATGTGCAGGTGTCACAGGCAGGCACCAAGCCATGCCTGCCAACAGGAGCTGCCTGGCCAACACGGGGCTGCCAAGGCCACAGAAAGCTCCACACCATTCCCACCATCTCATGTCGGACTCACAGGCAGCTGAGGGTACAATGGACATCAGCCTCAGAGTGCTGGATCTCTTCCCTGGGTTATCCCACTCTTGCCAGGCCCTTGAGAACGTCCCCAAGGTGCGTCAGCCCTATCAGCCATACTCACACTGCTGTCCAAATTACAGATGGAAGTGTTGGCAGGCATGCTTGTACCTACAGTCCTACTTCATCTCAGAAGCACAGAGAGGAGAGACAAGGCAAGCACGAGCAGCTTCACAGGCAGAGAGAAAGAGAGGATGCTCAGCTGGGAAGCAGGAACCAAGTGATAAGGAGACAATTCCTGCGGGCAGAACACGTTTTTGGAGACCCTCACACGAACAGCTCCTCCAAGAACAAGGCTGCAAATCCCACAAAGCCAGTCATTTAGATGGACTGCAGCTTCTGCTCACGAATGTTCCTGGCACAGGCAGCAGCTCCTTGGTTCCCAGTGCCCTGGAGAACGTGTAACTCTGCGTGGAGCCAAGAGCTTGGACACGACTCATCTGTAAATGCCAGGCTGGGGCTCTCCTAAGAGGAGGAGCTCGAGGGAGCACAGAGCTCACTGCTCAGAACAGCATTCCAACTGCTTCAAACAAATCCCCACAAAGAGGCTGAAAACAGCTCCCCTAGACAGCCCAGTTCTCGTGGTGCAGGGGTCTGGAAGCCAGCACTGCTCTTGGGACAACAGCTGGTGATCTGTCCATGCACCAGGATATAAAACAGTTTAATGCTCACACCTGGCCAAGGCCACCTCTGTGGAAGGAAGAGAACTGTTCCCATCACAGCTGGACTCTCCTGGCAGCAGGAATAGACACCTGAGAGCCCTTAGCTGCAGGCTCAGCCCAGCAGGACCAGTAAGGCCAGGCAATGGCCAGTGGCCACACCTACCATGTTTAATAGCCCAGGGCTCAGGACACAGCTCAGACCATCCTGGAAAGAGCAGTGGGAGCTGTGAGGGAGGCAGAGGCCAGAGCCACAGCTGGGGCAGCCCCAGGGGAAGGATGGGCAGGCACTTTCACTGCCCACCCAGCCAGAAGCTGAAGCCTGCTGAGACAGGGCTAAGGAGGCAGCAGGAGAAGCAAGAGGTTCAGTGGGAAAGGCCTTGGGAGAGGCTGCAGCACCTGGGCGTGCTGTGCAGGGCACACCTGGACAGGCTGCAGGGAGCACAGCAGGGAGGGCAAGGCAGGAGCTGGAGCTGCCCACGCCTCCCCGGTGCCTCTGTTTGTACCATACCTCTCAGCAGCTTCTGTTCTTTCCCTTTGCTCTTCCTCCACACTGGCTTTGCTTTGGTCTTTTTCCTCTTCTCCCAGCTCCTGGGCCTGCAGGTAAAAGCAAACAGGCTTTTATGGAGTTTGTGGCTCCTTCACCATCAAAGACCTCACAGGAGTTCTGCTGAAGGTCCATGGAACCAGCTGGGCCACATGGCACCCACAGAACGTTGGATGTGCCAGGCTCCTCTCTTGAGGGTACCCAAGGGTCTCCAACCATCCCAGGAATCCTTCCAGGAGCACGAGGGGAGCCTGGGAGCTCAGCTTTCTCAGGATAAAATATGAACTCTCTGCCAGCACTATGAACTTGGGACACAGGTCTGGCTTTTCTTTCCTGAAGGTCATTTTACAATCCCAAGTCACACTGAACTCCCTGGAAAGCACAGGAGAGAATCTCCTAAGAGTGAAATGTCACACACACAAAGTGCTGTGGCAGTGAAGCAAAGGATGCATTGTCTGGGACCAAAATTCACATCAGGACTCAGTCCTGCCTCCCATCTCCATCTAGGGCAGGGTGTGATGGGCTGCAGAGTCACCAGTCCAGGGATTTCTGACTCCAGGATCCATCAGCAATCCAGCCCCTTTGGCAGCACACTGAGCACTCAGCTGGCTCATTTTTGGCGTAGTAAATACTTGAAATATGAATAGAAAATATTTGAACGTGAAATAATCAGCTGCTCCTTTCCCCACCTGCCAGCTCCCAGATCCCTCTGTCCCTGCAGTGGGGACACCTGAGGAGGGGAAGGACTTCCCTCCTCACCTGCCAGCCCCACAGGAAGCGGGGGGGGCCCATTCATACATTTTTGGGGACTTCAGCAGGTGAGCTCAGCCCCTGCCATGCAGGACTGTGAGTGGAGCAGGCCAAAACAAGGCGGAATTAAACCCGCAGTAATTTATGCAAATGTTCAGTGGAGCAAATGGCAGAAGGATTCCCTGCAAGTGCTGTCACCTTCCATCACATCAGCCTGGGCACAGCCCCCAGCCCCCTCCTGCCCCTGTAACTGATGACTCCAATTCCCCAGAACCGAGGAGCTCAGCAAATGTTTCCTCGCTCCAAATGGGCTCTGTCAGCTCTGCCTGGGAACGGGAAGGAGCCAGACAAATGGGGAGGGAGATCATCCTGGAAAGAAGGTAATGCTCACAGGTAACTCCTCTGAGCTGCACAGGGCTCCTCCTGCCCCTCTGCCCACCAGGGCAGGCCCTCCTGAGGAACTATCCCTGCAGGAACCTCTGGACACGTTGGGAAGGTGCAGACAGCCCCCATCTGCAGGGAACGAGGGCAGATTTTAAACCTTCTTCATGGAATTATCAGATCCTTGCCCCTCCTGCTGCCCCAGCAGCCACAGAACCTCGAGCAGCTCAGTTTTCCACCCAGCTGCATCCCCCCAGGACACTTCACATGCTCAAGTCACAGAACCAGCTGTGTGAACACAGGGATGACAGATAATGGGCCACCTCCTCCCTCTGCACAGCCCACATCCCAAGGGACCATCTCACATCAGCTCAGATCACGCTGCAAGGTGCCAGCACTGAGCACTTGGGACAGGTTTGCCTTTTTCCTGAGGGGCAGGCACTGCCCAGGCTCCCCAGGGAATGCTCACAGCCCCGGGGCTGCCAGAGCTCCAGGAGCATTTGGCCAGCACACTCAGGGACAGGCTGGGATTTTGGGGTGTCTGTGTGGGGCCAGGAGTTAGACTTTGATGATGTTTGTGGGTTCCTTCTAGCTATGATTCCACAGCTCTGCATCCTGCACTTCCAGTCCCTGGGAAGGGAAGGGGGGAAGGAGCAGCCTCCCCTCTCCCAGGTCCAGCAGGACACAGCCCACAGAGCCTCTGCAGCCACCACAGCTCCTGCCCAAACACACCAACAAAACCCCTCCAATTCTGTGCTCACAGAGCTGCCAGAGGTCTCCTTTATTTATTTTTTTTTTTGAACAACATTTTGCCAATATATTCAAAGCAAGGCGAGCTCCTCACATGGCAGCAGGCACATTCCTACAACCCCGAGCCGTTCCAGCCGAGCCTCTGTGCACAGACACAAAAGAGCAGCTGCAGTTCTGCAGGGAGCACCATTTCACACCCAGCTCTCCCCAAACAGGGCTGTAATAAACCCAAACGTGGCTGCTCCAAGCAGCATTTGCATGCACAGTGCCTGTGCTGCGGGGAGGGAGAGGGGGAGCACAGCAGGCATATGTTTTGTTTTCCCTTCACATCTGATTATGCTCATTATTAGGCACAAGAGGACAGGTGTATTCTCCAGACACAACCTTGCAAACAGGATTGCTCCTCTCTGCTGGACAGGTGGGGATTTTGCCACTCAGGGTCTCTCCTCCAGAGCAGCTGATCCGTTCACAATCAGGGCAAGGCTGAGTAACCCCAGCTGGATCCTGGGCCCTGCCTCCAACCATGGCAGAGATGGAGCAGGAGGGCTCCAGAGGAACGTGGGGCTGAGCAAGCCAACTCAGAGCCATGCTGAGAAGACAAGGATAAACCAGAGAAGCACAGCAATCTTCAGGCAGAGCTGCCTGACCAGTGCTGCATCCCAGGCTGACACAGACATGTGCACACGTACACTCCATGTGCCACAGACTCACTGAAAGGAGCCCCTTTCCCCCCTGCATTAGAGCAGGCAAGACAACCAAATGCTTAAAAATAAGCTTCCCTCTACCAAAATCTGTCACAGGGAGTTAACCTCCTTTTCTTCCCATTGATTCTATCGTGCTCTGCCACACAAATCCTTCCCATCTGCTTAAGAGAAAGAAAAGGACAAATATACTCACAAAAGAAGAAAGGAAAAGAGACTCTACTTCCTCTATTCCCCGGGAAAGCCATTTATTGGCTCTCCTACTGGGGCAGGGAGAGCACCCAGGGGAGCCTGCCTGTGTACACCCCTGCAGCCACCTCTGCTCTGGGGTTATGTTCTTTGTGTAGCCACCTGCACCTCCTCTCTGCAGGAAAAACAACGCACTGGTGGTGCTGCTGTGACCCCTGACACTTCACACACATCAAGCCCTGTTCACCTCTGCAAAGCCTTCACTGACAGCATCACAGCACAGGGCTCCACCTGCCTGCTCACAGACCACCCTGAGCCCTCACACAGCACTGACCTTGCACTCGGGGCTGTCCAAATCAGGAGACACAGTCCCCACATCCAGAACCTCCTCAGAGAGCTGCCTCTTCAAGTCCAAGCCCTGAAACAGAAAGCAGAAAGGATCAGTCTCTGATGAGCATCCAGACATCCTGAGAGCAATATCCCAGCACAGCTCAGAATCCCTGCTCAACCCCACTGCCAGCAGCTCAGCAGCATTTCCCTTCCCTGTGGGACCAAGGGACACCAGTGCCACACAGGGAGGGCACTGGCACGCTCCCAGTGCACCCCCCATGCCATTGATTTTAGCAGGAGAGGGTGGCACAAGGAACCTCCAAAGGGGGCCCTTTGGCACTGCTCCCCTTTGAGACACTGCTGCACATTCCCAGGGATTTCTTTCCTCACAGCCAGCCCCCAAAGTTCCTCCCCCTTGGAGACACTCCCCCCTGCACACACCTGGTGCCCACACCAGGCACCTGCCAGCACAGGCTCGTACCAAGGCAGTAAATAATGACATTCTCAGCCATTTGCTGGCCACGCTGCCTCTGCTCCCACTGGCAGATGGCAGTGGCAGTTTCCTGTGGAGATGCAGAGATGCTGATGGGCATCTCCCCCCAAGCCAGGGCTGCCTCCCCTCCTGCCTGGGGACCCTCCAGACTGGGGTCTCAGCCACACACAGCCCCCTCAGCAAAAGCTGCTGAGCCCCAAAAGCACAATTCTTACTCTGCTTGTTATTTGCCTTTTTGCAATTATCCAAGTACACTCCCAGCTCTACCTGACCTACTTTTCCAGGGATATTAGCTCACCCCCAGCCCCAGTCTGCGAGGTGCAGGGTGGCACTGCTGGCCTGTGCCACACTCAGCTCTGAGGGCACTGCAAGGGGTGGGCACTGCACCATCCCAGAGGAACCTGAAGCCCACAGCCAAGGAAAAAAGAGCTTTTGGTGACTCACCACGGGCTGAACCACCTCCTGGTCGGAGCACTTGGAGACAGACAAGTCCTGCTCACAGCCACTGGCCCTGGATGCCTTTGAAAGCTGAGAGGAAAAACACATTACAGCCTGTCCATGTCCTACCCCTGCAGATCACCTGGGCATTCCCAACACGGCAGCTGCTACTGGCAACACAAGTGTGGCCTCTCTCAGGGAAGAAAAGGTGACTGAACATCACGGGGAGCACACCAAGGACGTGTGACCCACAGGACAAGAACAAAACACCATTTCACAGAGGGCAGGAGGCGGGGATGGGGAGGGCAGGGAAGTGCTCTTCAAACATCCCTGATAAAAGGCACTTGCTTCCTCTCCATCTGCAAGGATCTCTGCAGCTCTCAGAGCTCCCAGCCCACCACACAGCACAGCACCGGGGCCATAAAAGCACTTTAAAATCCCACTCTGCTGTGCCTAAGTGCAGCGAGGGCTCCTGCATTCCCAGCCATTCCCAGCTGCAGGAATTGCTCGGTGGGAAATGCTGACTTCAGCAGAACAGCTCAGGTGCACAAAACTCACAAATGAGTTTGGGAAAGCAACACCCTCAGCTCCTCAGGACAGAGCGTGTTTTCCAGGCTGGGTTTTGTAGTTTATCATTCCTTACAGACATTACGCATCAGTGAACTTGAGAAATCATCAAAATCAGCAGGAAGGCAGCCAGACCGGAGAGGGATCGTTCATCAGATCCTGTATCCTGGCTCGGATCCCACTCTGGAGCGTGAACACGAGTGGACAGTGTCGGGGCTGGACCAGGGGCAGCGTGTGACACCCAGCCCAAACCCCTGCTCCTCCCACACTGGGAGGGTCTGTGCTCCCACTCCAGCTCCAGCACCAGCCCTGAGGCTCCGTCCTTCCCCAGTCCAGCCTCGCAGCTCGCACGGAGCCAGGCAGCTCCTTCCACCCTGCCCCAGCTCTGGGCAAGCCGAGAGAAACAACAGAAGGAGAGAAACAAAACAGCACGGGCAGCTGGACCTGAGCTTCCTTAGCAGCCCTGGGAGCTGAGGCTGCTCCTCCCAGACTCAACACACAGCACAGCCCTGGCTTTGGGCAGCCCTTGGTGCATACAGGAGGGAAGGATTGCCCAGCTCAGTCCTGAAGATTCCCATCTGGGAATTCAGAGCACTCATGCCCCCCCAGCAATGACTGCCCTGCTGAGCAGGAAAGCACTTGGACTGGCTTCACAGAAAACCAGACAGTGCTCCAAGAGCTTTCCTGAGCCAGGGCCTGACGAGACCAACAGCCAACACTAAAACCACACAAGGCAGGTCTCTTACTTTGCCATCATCCTCTGATTTTGAATCAGCTGCTGCTTCTTCCCTCTCTTCATCCAGCCCCTTTTCTCCACAGGACACGGTGTCAGCAGTGGCAGCCAGGCTGGCCAGCACATCCCCCTGTGCAGGAGAGCCGGGCACGTCCAGCCCTGCTGTGCTCCTCTCCCCCTCAGACTGAGGCAGCTCCTCAGCTGCAGAGGCGTCTCCTTCCACCTCAGCTTCTTCTTTGTCCACTACTTCATCCCCAGCAAGTTCCTGCTCCTTGTTGGGGGCAGACAGGCTGCTGTCAGCATCGCCAGGGAGGATCTGAACTGGGGACGGAGGGCACGCAGCACCAGAATCCAAGGAAGACTCTGGCACTTCTTCAGGATGTCTTGATTTTAAAGACTCCTTCTAGGCAGCAAGTCAAACACAATTATAGACCCAGTGTTCTCTCTGGGGGATGAGGAGTCAGGAACAGCACAGGCTCTCCTACAGCAAGCAGCAAAATCACAAATCTTTGGGTGACTTCAAGACCTGTTTGACTTCTTTTCACCCAGTCCCATTCCAAGGGACTCCACTGACATAATCTCATTCATTTATTGGACTCTGACTTTTTTTGATCTGTTGCTTTTTTATCCACAGTGTCTCAGTGGATAAGAGTGGCTGTGCAAGGCCACCAGCCCCTGCAAACGCCCCACGTGCCACACAGCAGACTTAGTTATGCTTCCATATTGGATCTGTTCAGTGAGAAATGGAAATTTGTAAGAGTCCATGACAGGACATTTCACTCCTGCCTGACATTTCCAGCAGAGAAGAGCAGGCAGGATCACCATCCCACCTTCCAGTGGGACAGACTGGAGGGTGGGCACTGATTGAAGGCACCACTCAGAGCTCAGAAAGAGCCCGTGACTAACACAGGAGGCTGAGAGATGGGGGAAAAAACAACCCTGAATTAAAGCTTAGTCACCCAAAGGTTCAACTGCCTGTCCCAGCAGCGAGGAGGCCACAGCAGTGCCCATGGAGAGGGGAACAGCCAGGAGCAGGCTCCCTTATCAGCATGCAAACAGAGCTGCTCGCACGTCCCACTTCCTCACTGTTTTATTAATGCCACGGTGTCTTGTCAAACATTCCCTGCATCCTGTGCACGGCGTGTTCTGTACACTGAGTGCATATTTTAGCGGTGTATTTTTATCAGAGTGCCTCTGGAATGCTGTCAGCTCCCAGCCCAGGGCTGCAGCGCTCTGGGAGCACGGTCTGAGTGTGGCACTGCTCTGCCAGACCTCCCCAGGGCTGGGCCAGCATCCAGCAGGATGGAGAGGACAGAGGAGTCCAAACCCTGGGCACTTCCCAAAAATCCTGCAGCTCTGGGCCTCACCTGCCTTTCCCTGGTACTGACAGCTCACAGCCCCTGCCCAGCAGAGGTTCCCAGAGCCACCATCCAGCCACACGAGGCTCCTGGGGGACACCAGAGAAAGGTGGGCAAGGGGAACTTCTTCAGTCACCCTTGTGCTTCCCCTTTTCTGGGGATTAGGGTGGCTGGAAAGTTATGCTCCTTTTGGACAACTTGCTGCAGAGTTCTCCTGAGGACATCCCACCAGGAGAGCTGGCAGGGTCCAGGATATCCCAAATGAGGCCAAGCAGGTTCTGATGCTTGAACACAGGATCACACACACTCCAAAATATATCAATACACCAGCAGTGGTGTGCACACCAAAGGACTTCTCTCCAGGCAAGTTCAGCTACTAAAATATCCCAGAATAATCTCTCTGGCTGGCAGAATCCTATTTTAATGGCAATTACAGGCAAACCTTTTGTTAGCACCACGCTTTGATGATCACAAATGCAACTCTGCAAAAGAGGGAACCGTGCCAGTCAGACACACAGGTGCAGGAGGAGTGAGGTTTTTATAGATTTTTTATGGATCTCAGAGCAGGACAAGCCACTTGGGTTATAACTGGCTTTGGGTGATCTTTCCACAAGCTGTAACATTCTACCTGCCCTGAGTGGCACTCACTGATGGGAAATCCCTGCCTATCAAATCATCACTTCCAGTGATCAGCATTAAACTTTAACCAACAACACAAACAAGCCAAGCAGCTGCACACACACACACACACACCCCACACCACCAGAAGCTGCCTACTGCATGCAAAGCCTGGGTGGCACCGTGCAAGCAGGACAGGGATGCCAGGGAGCCACTGTCACCTCTCCCAGGCTGGCAGCTTCCTCCTCAGGGCTCCCGTGGGGCTGGGGAGCAGCTTCAGCAGCACCAGCTGATGGGCTGCCACGCTCCTCCTGCTCCTCCTTGCTGTTCTCCTGGTTGAGGGGACACAGCCACTTGCAGAATTCCCCACACCACCACCCCAAGCTGGAGCCCTCGCCCACCAGGGCCAGGTCACCACCCACCACCAGCCCTAGAGCAGAAATCTCTCCAGCTGAACAGCTTTCCTGGGAGCTCACAGGCCCAGATTCCCAAACATCAGGCTGTTGGATCCTTCAGTGCTGCTTTTCCTGCTGGCCAGCTCCATGAACTCACTGCTCCTCCAGACTCTTCCCTGTGAGCTGTGTTTGATGCTGCCTCCACTCCACCCAAATCCTGGCTCAGCAAACCCCTAAAACCTTTTATTTCCTTTGAGCGCAGGCATTCAACCCTGACCACGGGCTGAACAAAGCCAGTTTTTTCATTATTTCACCCATTACTGCTTAGATTTCCCCCTCAGGACTGGCTACACAAACCCTTGTCTCCTGTTTTGCTCGGGAGCAGGCTGAGGAATGCTTTTCTACTGCCATCTCATGGAACTACGAAAGAATTCTGTTTTCCAGTCGGGGTACTGATGTCTTATCAGGACTAGGCTATCACCCATCTGGGCTAACAGCCTGGCTGTTGGGCAGCAATTGCCATTCCATAATAGATTCCCGAAGCCCCATCCCCGCGGCACTGAAATGCCAAGACAGCTCTTTGTTCCTGCACACATTAACATTTCAGTGAGGAATTGGGCCCCCACAGGCTGCTTGTTGTCTGGAGATGAGAGAGTCAGGGCTCTCTTTGTCACATCCACTTTAGCATAAGCCTTTGCAGATCCTGCCCAGCACCGTGAATAGGTTCTCCAGCAAAGTACTTTACAGCTTAATTTTCGTGTGCTGTGAAAAGGATAAGGGAAATACTCTAAAACACTTTAAAAGAAATTAATTTGCCTTTCAGATACTGGAATAGGATTTTCAAAGCGGTGAGAAAGGATTAATGTCAGCACAAACAGTCGGGCCAAATCACCAGAGCTGCTTACAACGCACTTCCCATTGTGCCCTTGTCATCTTAAGGCTGATCCCAGCTAAGGAAGCGCAGGGAAAGCACAGCGTCTGCACAAGGCCTTGGCTGCACTGAATGCTCTGTGCCTCAGCCACGGGATTTATCAGCAGGGCAAGAAGAAAAGAAAAACGGGTTTTGTGCTGCCACAGAAAAGCGGCCGCGTGCAGCCCACGTGAAGATTCCTGTGGGACCGAGTGACAGAGCAAGAGCATTCCCACAGGACACGTGGGACATTCCCCTCTCCTCTCCCCAGAGGCTGCTCAGGGACAAGGAGCCTTCCCTGCACACCCCCTGACAAACACTGTGCACATGGAAGTTCCTCTTCCTCACCGAGCCTTCCTCCCACACCAACTGCAGTGGTGCCTCTGACCCCAGACCCTTTTCCTGCTGCTCCCTGGAAAAGCAGATTTCCCCCTTGCCTGCTTCACCTACCTGGCTTTATTTTTCCTGTTTGAGGATGAAGCAAAGCTCCAGCCTGTGCAAAGACGTCTCCTCAAGTCCCAAATATCAAACCACAACCACTCCAAGCAAAACTTCCCTTCAATGCCCACCCCACTGTGCCCTGTGGGCCACACCTGGATTCTCACAGCTCCCAGCCCTGCTGCTGTGCCTTCCTCTCCATCACTCTGCTCCAGGCTGCTCCTGCTCCTAAGTCACACAGGAAACTCATCCCTCTGGCACCTTTCCTGCATTCTCATCCCCTGGCAGTGCCACATCTCCTCTCCCACCTGGGCAGCCTCCCCTGCCCATCCCATCACTGTGGTCTTACCTCAAAGTCAAAGCTGCCTGCCAGGGCTTCAACATCCAGGTACACGTTTTTTAACAGTCTTGAAGTCCCATGGAAACTCTGAAGGATTGAAAAAAAAAAAAAAAAAAAAAAAGGCCAAAATTGAGCTGTGACCTCTGCAATGCCACAGGAGTTGTTCCTCAGCAGTGAAATCAGGCAGCAGAGCCATGGCAATGCACCCACAGCCAATTTATCTTGGAATGACACCGTGGCAGATGTTGATTTATAGGGGTTACCATGTGAAAATAGGATCAGATGCTTTTTGGGGACCAAACAGCACAAAAAAAAAAAAAAGAGAGCACAAATGAAAGCCCAGGGGCAAATGGAACAGCCATGACCAGGGGAGCATCAGGAGGCTTCAGCACTCTGCTTACAGCAGCAGCCAGGGCACACAAATACCTCATTTTCGCTTTCTTCCTCTTCGCTTTTCCATTTCTCTGGCACTGCCTTGCTCAAGGAACTTTTCTCTTCACAGATCATCCCCAGCAGGTTCTTGGTGCGGGTGCTGGGCTTCGAGATCTCTGCAGGCTGTGAAGGCCAGAGAAAGGGAAGTGAGAGGTCAGACAATAGGAAAGGGGAGACAGAGACCCACCGAGACACGGGGCAGCTGCTGGGCTCTGGGAGGGAGATCAGTTTCCTACCACTTAACACGTTTGTTTATTTTTGAAGGTGTTTATGTGTATGTTTTGCGGGTATTTTGCTTTGCTTTCCTCTAAAGGATCAATTTCTTACCATTTAACAAGTTTTATTGACTCCCAGGTCACTTTCAAGCATCCAACATGGTTGTGAACCTTACATTCATCAGAACAATAGCTCTTTTAATTTTATTCTCAATAGAAGAGTGAAAATAGTTGATTAACTTGTATTATCTGTATTGTCTGTCATGCTTCATTTGCACACTAAATTCTACTAAAACTTAACACACTTTTTTCCTCTGCAGCAGTTATTGAAACAATTATTTCAATCTGCTATACATAGCAAAAGAAAGCTCACCACTAATTTAGCACTGGCCTCCCTAGAAATAGAAGAAAAGAAATACGGTTTTTTAACACCTAACAGTATTTTCAAACTGACAGAAGATCACAAACCCTGTCATTGAAGTGTCCCCCACGCCTGTGACCCTTTGCAGTGCACTTCCCAGGGAAGAGGGAGCCTCACCAGAGTTCCTTCCTTGGGGATGAGGTTGGACTCCACCACATTGCCCAGGTCCAGGTTCAGGGAGCCACGAAGGGCCAGGGATGAAGACGGGGTGAGACCACGGAGAGGAGAAAGGGTGCCCAGTGGAGGCTGGATGGGAGCCAGCTGGGAGCCTGGGGGCTGGAGGAGCACAAGGAAGTCACAGGACAGCTCTGAGCTCACACTCCTGACCTTGGAATGGGACAAGGAGCTCCCCTGGACAAGCAGGGGCTGAGGGACCAACCCTGCTCAGAGACCCACACCCAGCACACGGGACAGGCAAGGAAACAGGGTTGGATTTACTCTCACATTTTGCTTTCCACATGCCCATCTGAACGGGTCCTGAACCCTCCTCTCCCTCCCAGACACACCAAGAGCGTGTGTTTGCTCCAGAGTGTGTTACAACCAGAATTAAAGGTGATTCTGTACTCAGTGCTCCCACCCCAGCTGATTTACTGCTCATCACCCGGGTCTGGGGTCACTTTGTTCATCCTCTGCCCAGCCCTCCCCAGAAGCAGCCAGAGCCCACTCACAGGGAGCTGCTTCAGGAACTGCTTCTCCTTCTTGTCCTTCTTCTTCTCTTTCTTGTCCTTCTTTTCCTTCTTCTCCTTTTTCTCCTTTTTCTCCTTCTTTTCCTTCTTCAAGCTGCCCCGTGCCAGCAGCTTCTCCCTCTCCCTGATGACCAGCTGCTTGTAGTGCTCATCACAGGGATGCTCCCACGTGGAGAGGCCATTTTCAAAGTTGAAGAAATAGATGTCACCACCCGCGATATCTTGGCTGCACAGCAAAAACAGCAGGAAAAGGTGAAAGAGCACATTAAAAACACAGCTGCACAGCCAGAACATCTTTACTGATGGTGTGAGCATCTGAAACTCAGGGAAGAGGAGTGTGATGTCTCCAGGAAGCCAAAAATGTACGAGTGTGGGGAAGCAGTTCTCCCAGATGCTCATATCCAGCTTCCCAAACAGCTTTTCCCCTTCTTCTGCCACCCCAAAAACCCCTGAGCTCCTGATACCCCGTCTAACCCAATCCTCTGCCAGCTGGAAGCCACTCTCCTTGTCCTGTCACTGGGAATCCCCAGCACAGCTGCTGCCAGAGCTCTCACCAGGCCTTCCACTCCGGGGGCAGGGGGGTCACCAGGCACTCCCTGGCCAGCCACAGCAGCTCCGACTCCTTGTCGGGGTCAATCCCGATGGTTGGTGCAAAATCCCGGATTTCTGGGGGAACAGAAGAGCAATCTGTGAAGTTGGCCTGCCCAACAGAGCCACACAGCTAAAGCTGTGGGCACACTGGGAAATCCTGAGCCCAAAACAAAGTTGCCCAAAGCCACCAGCAAAGTGCTGTGTGCCTGTAGAGCCCATCCTGCAGGTTGGGGACACGGAGATTGACACCACAAAGTGACATTCTGCTCTGCCTCCACTAAAATCCCGAGTATTCCACCCTCTCCATCCACTTCAGAAACCAGTTCCTGATTTCTGAATACATCTGGAAGTGACCTGCATGCCTGAATCCCTTCTCCCAGCTCCTGGGAAGATGGGCCACGCTCACCTTGCTCCTTAGGAACGTAGGATTCATTGTACTCTTCTTCCAGAATGAGCTGGTCCCCGATGCGCAGGGCTCCTGCCATGGATCCCACACCTGGCAGAGGGGAGGAACCAGCACACAGTCACAACTGCCCTCAGAAAAGAAAATTCCTCCTCCCCAGCACATGGCAGGGCCCTTCCACTGCAGCACACACAGCAAAACCGAATCAAAGAGCTTCCACACACCCTTCCAAGGGCTGGGGAAACAGGGAGCAGAGCTGAAGGGGCACAGAGTTACAATCAGATCCCACAGGCTTTCCAGTTTCTACAGGAAAGATGGTTCAGGTACTTTTCAACCCAGTAAAAAATAAGCTGAAAAGAGGAAGGGAAGGAAAAGCAAGCAACTCTCCCAAAGCATTGCTTTGTGATTTAACTCACAGACCACACCACAGCTGGGCCTTTACAACCCATCCATCCACCATTTCATGCAGTTGGAATTCACCCACCTCACCCCAAACATCCTCAGCTGTGGCTCAGTGTGGCCACATTTGGCCAGCACAAGCACAGGGGGCCACGACTGCTGCTCAAACACACAACTGAATGCCAAGGTCAAACATTTCAGCCTAAACCCCCCCAAATTCTCTGTGCAAAAAGCATTTCTCTGCTTTCCTGGTGAGACCCAGGGGGTTGTGGTACCTGCCAGGTACCCCCAGTGATAACCAGAGCAGGATCACTACCTGTGACAGGGCCACCACTGCCCTCTTCACCTCCCTGTGTCCTCACCCCGATCTGTTTTATAACTCTTATGTAAACCAAGTCTCAGAAGCAGCAACTAATCCTGGCAGTATCCAGGTGAAGACGTTCTCAGGATGGCCAAACCAAACCAGCATCACGGAGCTCGCACCACTCCCCCTCCCAACTGTCCCCAGCTGGAGCATTCGGATGTGGGCAACTCGCTTGGGGTCTTCTGTTCCTATTTTCCTCTCCCAAAACTATCTCAGCCCCATCTCCCATCCCTGGTGTTGGCACTGGGGGATGAATTATGGGCTCACTCCTCCCTTGGAGACCTGCAGTGCAACCTTTCAGTGCTTGAGGGGCAGCTGTAATAGATTGGGATAAGAGAGAAAGGCTTTAAAATAGAAGAGGAGGATTTAGGTGAGATCTGTGGAGGGAATTCTTCCCTCTAGAGGTGGCGAGACCCTGGCACCGGGTGCCCAGAGAAGCTGTGGCTGCCCCATCCCTGGAAGTGTTCAAAGCCAGGTTGGATGGGGCTTGGAGCAAGCTGGGATAGTGGAAGCATCCTTGTCCATGGCATAGGGGTGGAACTGGATGATTTTCAGGTCCCTTCCAACCCAAAATCCCGTTCCATAGCTCTATGCAAAGAGAACCGAAGCCTCAGTGCAGCCGCCGCCGCGCCAGCCTGGAGCCACGGAAAAAGCGCGGCTGGCAAGAACAAACAGCTTTGGTCCATAGGGTATTTTAAAAACAGGAATAAAAGCCGTTTTCACCCTTACCACGACAGCACCCACGCGACCCACGCACAGCCAGGAACCGGCGGACCCCGCGAATGGCGGGAGGCCGGAACCGCGCGGCGCGGGGCCGCTCCCCGCAGCCTCCGCTCACCGAGGGGAGCCTGCCCGGCCCGGGCCGGGCTCAGTGCCGGTGTGGGTCCCTCCCCACCCGCCGCTCACCGTCCCCGCCCGCCGCTGCCGCCGTTCCGCGGGCGCCGCCGGTTGCGGGGAGCGCGGGAGTCGCCGCGGCCGCTACGCCACGCCCCGCCCCCTCCCCGCCATTGGTCGGCGGGAGGATGCGCGACATCCGATTGGTGGCCGGGGAGGAGGGATGCATGATGTCACCGCGGCGGGGCCGCCGGGGGCTGCGGTTGCCATGGCGACGCGTGGGTACCGCCCGCGGAGCATCCCGGTGCGTCCCGGTGCGTCCCGGCGCGTCCCGGCGCGTCCCGGCGGGGCAGCGGGACGAGAACGGGGCTGGGGACCGGGAAAGGGCCGGGGACAGCGGGCAGGGCCGGGGCGGGTCTCTCGGTGAGCGTTTCCGCCCGCGGGCGGGCTTTCCGGGGCGGGTCCGTGCGCGCCGCCATGCCCGCCGCCGCCGCGCCGCCCGCCCGCCCCGGCGCGGCCGCCCCGCCGAGGCGCGGGGCGCTGCGGGCCCGCTGACCGCGTCCCCCGAGGGCTTCCCCGCGGCCATGGCGCCCGCCTGGCCCTTGCTGCTGCTGTGGCTGGGGGTTCTGCGCGCCCTCCCGGCCCCGCCGCGCATCCGGCTGCCGCTGCGGGGCGGCGCGGCCCCGCCGTCGGGACTCCGGCAGCGCCGGGCGCCGCTGGACACCGAGCCCGACAGCACCGGCAGCTTCGTGGAGATGATCGACAACCTGCGGGGAAAGTCCGGGCAGGGGTACTACGTGGAGATGACGGTGGGCAGCCCCCCGCAGAAGGTGAGGTGGGAGGGCATCGTCGCATCCCCCGCATCTCCCTCATCCCCTGCATTCCCGGGGCTGCGGGTGTCCCTCTGGCCCGTTGCGGAGCTGCGAGTGCCACCATGGCTTCGCGTGGCTCTCGCCGCACGGCCCGGGCGGTATTCCTGCTTCTCATCGCTCCGGTGATGCTTCTCCTGTTGGCTTTGAGCTAAAACTGGCCGCAGTCGCCCGCCGAAGGTGACCCCAGCGCTCCCGGGGCTGCCCGGGCGCTCCGGGTGGGGTGGCCGGTGCTGCGTATGCCTGTCCGTGCGGGCGAGCCAGGCTGCCTCCCTCCATCCCTCCCTTCCCTCTCCATCCCTCCCTTCCCTCTCCCTCCCTCCCTTCCCTCTCCATCCCTCCCTTCCCTCTCCCTCCCTCCCTTCCCGCTCCATCCCTGCCTCCCTCCCTGCCTCCATCCCCGCTGCCGAGCCGAAGGATGCCGCTGGAGCTGGCGCGGCTGTGGGCGGCAGGGGGGTGGGATGTGGCTGCACAGCCCCGTGCCCGCCTGGAGCGGCACATGCAGGCACGGAGGAACCCACGGCCAAGCCGTGCTTGGCAGCTCCTGCAAGCACAGCCCCGGGCGCAGCTGCTGCCTGGCTCCTCGTGTTGCTCCCGGCCGGGGAAAATTCTCCAGAAATCCCGCAGCGCTCCGTTTTCCCAAGGACCTTGTGATGTTTGTCGCTGCGCAGGAGTTGGGGCAGCGTGGGGAGGCAAAGTGCAGGAAAATGGGATGGCCTGGATGGAAAGGGAGCCCACAGGGCAGGCAGAACAGGCGTTGGTGCGTCACCAGGCTCTGATCCTGCTCCATCTTTTTGTCAGCATCCCTCACATGCTGCCCAGCTCGTGTGCCTGCGCCCTGGGGACAGGCTGAATGCTGAGGGCCAGTCACACAGCACAGGGCGACCAGCTCCTCCCCTTTTTTACCGATGAGATCGGGGAGATTCCCGCTGCTAAATCTTTTGTGCCCATCCTGATCCCCGCTGTCACCAGCAGCAAGTCTGGCCTGGGGGTTGAGCTCAATGATCGAGGCTCCAGGTTCCTCCCAGCACAGGGCCACATTCCTTCATGCCTGCCATCACCACTTTTTGGGTGCTCCCAGAACAGCCAGCACCCACACAGGCTGTGAAATAAAGTCTGGCTTTTCCCCACGAGCTGGCTGTGCTCTGTGTGTATGGTGGGAGAGAGCAATGGGAGCAAAATGTGGACGGAGGAATGATACCACAGCCATGGAAATGGAATCTCTGGGAGCACTATTGTGTTGTCCCTGTGTGCCTGGGACTTACTGCTTGCTCTGGCAGGGTGTGCTTAGGGAAATAAAAAAAGGGAGGAGATTATTTCTAAAATCTAGTTTTAAATGTGATTTCATCATCTCCTGCCTGCCACGTGTCGCAGCTGCCAGATAATTTCCGTGCGAACCACCTGTTCCCAGGCACTGGCGCGTTCCGGAGCCAGCCACCCTTTTGGGCAGCATCTTCCAGCCTTGGATTGCTTCCAAATGCAAACGTGGTGCCTGTGCCTGCATGGGGTGTGTGTGTGTGTGTGTGTGATGGAGCAAAATCCCTCCAGGCATTGCAGTGGAATGAGAGGATTCATATGAAAGAGTTTGCAGGAAATTGGGAGCGTGTTTGCCCCAGGGAGGTGCGTGCATCCTTCCCAAAGGCTCACACGCAGCAGGGAGATGGTGATCCATCTCTTCACCTTTCCTTTCACCTTCCCGATGCTGACAAGGAAGTTTCTGTGTCCCTTTGTGCTTTAATTTTGGTTCTGAGCCGCGCTGTGCTGCCAAGTCACCGTCAGCAGCTGATTGCTCACACATTCCATGTGTCCAAGCATGTTGGTTTCCCTGGCTCCCCAGAACGGGCTGATTCATAAACACACAGGGGAGAGGGGTGAGCAGAGCAGCAGGAGCCGGTGTTTTGGGACAGATGGCACAGGCTTGGTGCCCCACGAGCAGCACACAGCTCTAGGGACACTCGTGGCACAGAGCCAGTGCTGCTGCCGAGGTGCCTGGAGGGGCTGTCACTTCCAGGGACAGGTTTCAGGCAGTGTCCCTGCTACACATGTCGTGGCCTCACCAGTTCACGTGCTAATAATGGATGGCTGGGCTGAGTCTCAAGGATCTGGGTCCTCTCCACGTGGGTCCTGTGCGTGACCCCTTCAGCAGGACGGAGCCTGCGAGAGTAACAGCCCTCCCTGCCTGCTCTCCCTGCAGCGTCAGCTCAGCAGGTCCTTCTCCAGGGAAACCAGTCTGCTCTGGGTGCTCTGGGGATTGGAGATGAGCTGTGTGGAGCAGGTGGCCCCTAGTGACCCACCCACAGAACCAGGAACAGCCCTGGGAATGGTGCAGGTGCCGGGTTGCCAGGAGAAGGTCGGGCTGTGTGGTGAGCTGGCACTGTCCAGGGTGCGTACTGGAGGGGTGAACGTGCTGCTCTGATCTTTACCCACGGCCTGAAACGTTCCCCTTGGCAGGGAGGTGGAGCTGGGGCACTCAGGACATGCCAGCCTCTGTCAGGGACAGCGCTCAGCAGCTGCAGCCAGTGCTCCTGCGATTAACACAAGCGCATTAACCTCCTTCCTCTCCCTCTGACTCCATAGATTAAGGGCTGAAGCCCTGGTGCTGCTGCCCGGGGTGGTGCTGTGAAGCAGCTCCTGGGTCTGGGGTGAGGGCTCACCCCGAGCTCTGCTGCCCAGCACAGCCAGGAGGCTCGGACAGCCCCACTCCCAGCCGGGCAATCCCGCCCGGGCAATCCCACCCAGTCAATCCCACCTCAGCAATCCCACCCCGGCAATCCCACCCCGGCCATCCCGCCCTGCTCCCTGCCGGTGCTGCAGGCACGGTTCAGCTGAGGGCAGGATCCGGCTGGCCCAGTCCTGGCCCTGCCAGTGGGATGTTTGCCAAGCCTGGTAATCCTGCCCAGGCAGGAATGAATCAGGAGCAGGGCTCGGCATATGGGTGGCGATTAGCGGGCGCAGGGATCCGCGGGGGCTGCCCGATCCTTCCCACTGGCTGTGCCAGCAAATCTGCTCTCCTGGCAAGGGGAACCTGTGCACCCTGTGCTGCTGCTGCTGCTCTCCGGCCCCATGACACCAGCCTGTGGATTTGGGGGCTGAGGCTGGGCCATGCTGGGTGAGGAGCTCATGCTCTGTTTGCACAGTGCTGGATGGTGTTTGCTTTTTGTGCAACTCCCTGATGTCGCTGCCTCTGGCTCCACCACCTCCTTCTCTCCTCTCTGAGCACAATAAAAGAGGATCCCACTGCACTCACGAGTCTTCCTGTCTTTTCTTCCTTCTCCAGCTGAATATCCTGGTGGACACAGGGAGCAGTAACTTCGCTGTGGGAGCTGCACCACACCCCTTCCTCCGGAGATACTACCAGCGGCAGCTGTGAGTATTCTGGGGGGACACAGAGCACAGCCCCTCAGGCACACTGCTTTTCCTTGCTGGAGATCTGGCCAGACCCTGCCAGGTCCTGCCTGTGGCTGGATCCACACAAACCCTGCTGGTCTGACCCATCCCTCTGCCACTGTTGCAGGTCCAGCACCTACCGTGACCTGCGGAAGGGGGTGTATGTGCCCTACACCCAGGGCAAGTGGGAAGGGGAGCTGGGCACTGACCTTGTCACCATCCCCCACGGCCCCAACGTCACTGTCAGAGCCAACATCGCTGCCATCACGGAGTCAGACAAATTCTTCATCAACGGCTCCAACTGGGAAGGGATCCTGGGACTGGCATATGCTGAGATTGCCCGGGTGAGTCCTGGATGTGAGCACCAAAACGCTTCAGTTGCCTTTTCCTTGTCCCTGTTTGTCCTCTGGGGCGAGGGGAACTCCCCTGGGTGCAGAGAGCTCCTGGAGAAGAGACAGCACTGACACATCCCTGTCCTGCCTCTGCTTTCCCCTCCCACCAGCCTGACGACAGCCTGGAGCCCTTCTTTGACTCCCTGGTGAAGCAGACACGGGTGCCCAACATCTTCTCCCTGCAGCTGTGCGGGACAGGCTTCTCTCCCAACGAGACAGAGGCCGTGGCCTCGGTGGGAGGCAGCATGGTGAGCACTCCACAGGTGGCTGGGGGTTCCCTGGTGGCACTGCCAGCAGTGGTGGCAG